AAATACTTTCCTGAGGTGATTTCTACAACATGCATCGCACTATTTCCACTGTGTACTACATCCTGACACGTTTTGACGATCTGCCCCAAACTCGACATGCCAGATCACAGTCCCGCCCGGAGCAGGTTTGCCCCACACCCCGCCGTGCGCGACGACCGACAAGCGTAGGGCGAGACCCGTCCATCGCCGCTTGCAGCTTTAATTACTCTTTATTATCCTACTCAGTTATATTCATCGTTTTTTGTGTGTGACAACAACAGTTAATTTGCAGATTGAGATGAATCCTAGAATCTGCAGAACAATTCAACTTGTTCACTTTGTTGTGACCGAGGTTTGACCTCGAGGCGCGTGTTTGTGACGGCCAACCCACCGGCAGGACAGCGGGAGCTTAAACTTTGTCCTGGCTTTGCTTTTCACCACCGCTGTTCTTCTCTATATATGAGGCTGGATTGCTGAACTGGCTGGTAAGTGGATTTTTTTTGTTTTTATTTTGACCTACAGCGTTATTTCAAGGTGTGATATAAAGTAAGCTATAGAGCCTTTTTACATGTATACGTCTACTGTAGCTAAAATTAGCAGCTACAAAACGCTGCACATTAATGCATCAGCAGCAACGCAGTGCTGTGCTATACATTATGCAATATTAACAAAGTTATGCAACAAAGGACTGAACGCTTTGGGTGCATTTGCCGATAATACTTTCTTGAAATAAAAACAAAAAACAAAACATGAACCTGGCACTATTTTTACACTATAAACTGCCTTAGAACCACCAAAATAAAATGCATTCACTGATGTTGTGGCTCAGTTCATTTCCGTTTTGCTGACATACAATCCAGACAACAGGCTGTAAAAAGTAAACGTGCTGCATCCTTTAAAAGTTGTGCTCGTGTAAGCTAACTCAAACGGCAGCTAAAGGATCTGCTCCAAGCGTTCATCACTGGGCAGACGGCAGAGCTTCCTGCTGCATGACTTTAAAATCATGCAACTTCAAACTGTTTGCAAGTGAATATTTAATTTTCTTTGCTCCCGCTGAGCAAACATTCTGGGTTGTGATCCTCAGTAGTTAGCTTTTCTGATGACAGACGTGATTTCTAGCAAAACAAATCAAATTTAAAATGATGATGGTGCATTTTTAGCTCACCACGCTCCTCTCTCTCCCCTCCCTCTCCTTTCCAATATTTATAAAATCTATAGCTCACTCAGAGGCAACCCATTAGTCACTCATGAATCTCCTTTGCTCGCATTAACAAATGGACTTCGATGTCCTATTTCAGAATCAGTGGTTTTAAGCAGAACTAGTGTATAATTCAGCAAACCAGCAAAAAAAAAAAAAAAGTAGTTTCCAGGAAAGTTTCTAACTTTGCCCTCAGAGTTCAGATCGCTCAGTCTGTTGCAACTGCATGTCCTTGACAAATGACTGTGCAGTAATGAGTCCTTGTTTACACAAGAAGTAATGATTAGATCGGGGGATTCTTCTCCCCAAATGACAGTAATTTGCAGATGAGCAGCGCCTGAATCTGATGGAAATCATCCAGCTAGAAAACAGCAGTAAGTTCGTTTTACTGAACAGCATGTGCATGAACAGGAGAAGATTTTTACTGGTTTTATTTAGATGTTTGCACTGGTGCAGCACCTTCCTCGTCATGTTTAAGTCTCTCTTCTCCCGTTCTCTTCCAGTGATGAAGTCCTGGTGTGTTCTTGTTGTTCTCTGCTTGACGTGTTTCTGTCATGGCGCCTATTCCTGCCCAGCGACTTGTAAATGCTACACCAGGAGAGCTGAGGTGGTCTGCAACGAGGTTTCCCTGACGGAGTACCCCACTGAAGGTCTCCTGAAGAACACCACCCTGCTGACGATCCAGTTCACCAACATCACGTCCATCTCAGAGCAGCAGCTGAGCGCCACGCCGCTGCTGCAAGGCCTCCACCTGTACAGCAACCACCTGACGAACCTTTCCTCTCACCTGCTCAGGGGCGTCCCTCACCTCCAAACCATGGACCTCACCGGAAACCAGCTGAGCGACCTGCCAGCAGACGTCTTCAGCCACGCCCCGCTCCACAGTCTGGTGCTGAAGAACAACCTGATCAAAAAGGCCGATGCAGAGTGGCTCCATGAGAACAGCAACCTCACCTGGTTGGACTTATCTGGAAACCAGTTGATGAAGATCCCGACTGCTCTGCTTCAGAAGCTGCCAAACCTGGACAATCTCGACTTGGCCAACAACCAGCTGGAGAAGATACCAGCGAACTCTCTGGACTCGCTGAGCAAACTGGAGAGACTGAACATGCAGAACAACAAGCTGAACACTCTGGATGCATCCGTGTTTCAGACCACAAGAAACCTCACCTCTTTGTTCCTCACTCGGAACAAGCTCAGCAAGCTCCCCCAGAACCTCTTCCAGGAGCTGACTCAGCTCAGACACCTGAGTCTGGATGACAACCAGCTGAGTCACATCCCTGCAGGTTTGCTGGACCCACTGACCTCGCTGGATGAAGAGGGGCTGGACCTGACAGGCAACCCCTTCCTGTGTGATGGGAAGGTGGAGTACCTCTGGAGGTGGCTTCAGAAGAACAAGACGAAGGCTTTCTTGCCAGAGACCATCACGTGTGGTGGACCTGAGTCTCTAGTGGGGCGCCCAGTCATGTCGCTGACAGCAAGTGAACTAAAAATCCAGTCTTAACATCCCTCATACTGGTTATTATGTCATATGGAAATGTATGAAGTCCAGCCTGTCGCACATGTCGATCACTGAAGATTAAATGTGATAAAAATCTAAAAAGTCTGTCTTCGTTTGAGTGCATTTAAAATCTGGTGGGTAAGTTTGAGCTTTTCTGTTGCAGTTTAGATGATGAGATCAATACCATGCTACATAATGGTGACAGTTAGCTTAGCTTAGCATAATGACTGCTAGCCTGGCGTTGATCAAAGATTAAAGAGACCTCCTAAAACCACATCTTTAGGAGGAAGATTCAGACAAACAAGAGACATTTATTGGTGGCAACAGCATAGAGATCAGAATGCAAGAAAAAAAATTACTAAACACGGTTCCTCCGACTGCCCCAGTGTTCAAACAAAGCCTTTGCTCATGGTTGGCACATCTTTGGACAGAGATAAGCTTGTAGTTTTCCCTCGTTTTGGGCCTTTGTGCTGAGCTAAGCTAATCAGCTCTTATCTCATTGGATAAACATGGTATCAATTTGTTGAACGCTCAGCAATAAAGTAAAGATGCATAAATCCAACTGCTCCAACAAACTGTATTTAAAATAAACTAAATAAAAACATGAATTCAAGGGTTGAAATAAATACCTCACTTTTAAAAATTGGATTTTTATTTGCATATCAACATTTACACTCGTATATAATATTCTTGGAGGAATGAAAGAAAAAGAAAAAAAAGGAAAATATTGATTCATGCGTGGTAACATCTTTACTTTTAGAAAGTACAAAAAAACAGCAACCACTCACCAGCTGATGAGCTGGTTTGTTTGCTTGGATTTGTTTGCCTCTTGCAACATTTTGTCCTGACTCACTGCTGGGCATAAATACAGTCAGCATTCTGCAAAACTCCGTCCAAATTCAGAAACAGAAGGAATCCTGCTTTTGCCTTTCAGGTAGGAGTGCGTTTATTATCAGGATTTTCACTGTTTAGTGACATCACCTGGAAACGTTTCAGCTTAATATTGTACTTTTCTCAATGCAGTGTTTTAAAGATGATCTGGTGGCTGCTCCTGGCTGCCACTGCTCTGGCTGAGTCCAACTTCCAAGCACGATTCTCCCACTCATGTCCAGATCAGTGCTCCTGCTTGTCAACAGCTCCAGGTGCTAAAGTGCTGTGTAGCCGACGCTCCCTCGCGTACTTCCCTGAACTCGGCTTACCTCCCGACACCACACATTTGTCCTTTCACAACACCCAACTGCGCGACATCACAGCCGGCCATTTGAGCGCCGTGCCCCTCCTAACCTTCCTCCAGCTGTATTACAACAACCTGACAACACTTCCTGCGGAGCTACCGGCGGTCGTCCCTCGACTGAACGAGTTGGATCTCACAGGTAATCAGCTGGTTCACCTGCCGCCGCGTGTCTTCAGCTTCGCCTCGCTCCGTCGGCTGATGCTGAGGAACAACCTGTTAGAAGAAGCACATGCGGACTGGTTTCCTGACAACAGCAGCCTCACCTGGCTGGACCTGTCCTGCAACCGGTTAACCAGCATCCCAGCTGCTCTGCTTCACAAGCTGCCCCATCTGGAGACCCTAGACCTGAACGATAACAACCTGCAACAGCTACAGGAAGACGCGCTGAAGAACCTGCACCACCTGGAGTCCCTGAACCTCGGCGGGAACAAATTAATCACCCTGGAACCAGCAACCTTTGCTCACAACCTTAAACTGTCCCAACTGTCTCTGCATGAGAATCAGCTCCGAGAGCTTCCAGCGAACCTCCTGAAGGGCCTCCAACACCTTCAGCTCCTGCTGCTCTTCAAGAATCAGCTGCAGTATCTTCCTTCAGGTCTGCTGAACGAGACAAGACCCTCTTTCAGGATGGTGGTATCGGGGAACCCCTGGGAGTGTGATGGGAGAATAGAGTATCTGTGGAGGTGGCTCGGTGACCATCTTTCGAATGTCTTCTTTCTGAATGAAGTGACTTGTAACGGACCTGAAGCTCTCAAAAATGAGCAAATAGTGTCTCTAACTGAAAGCCAGCTTGTTCTCAAGAAAACACAATCAAACAGTCAAATCTAGGGATGAAGACTTGGTGAAAGAAAAGTGGATATTTTACTTTTGCTGTCTACATTCTTGTGTCGAATAAAAAAACAAAAAAACCCAGACACGAGTCTCCCACTGTGTTCTCGCTGCTTTCTTGTTATCTCTGCTTGATTTCTGTGTTGTTTGGATATTGTCCAGCCCACCGGGTGGCGTAAGATGCTCAATAAAATTTTTCAAACCAGCCAGATGAACAGACAGTGCAGCTCAGTTAAAAACCAATTTACTCATTAGAATCCCCGCCAAGAACGCGTCCGAGCAAACGCTGTTACAAATATATCCCGACGAGATTGATTTTCGCAGACAAAACAAACTTTCTGTTAATCTCATCGTAAATTAGCGCGACTTGAACCGTCGACACATTTCATTTTCTATCCTAATTTTGCACGATCATATTTTCATGAATGAGCGACAGATAGATTAAGGGGGCAAAAAAAAACAAAGGAACGCCCGTGATGGCGAAGAGGAAAACAAAGAGCTCTTGTGAGATTCTCCCGGCGCATCCTTTACGCCAACAGATCTGTCTCGCTTGTTGTTGGTTGCATCACAGATTGCAGAATTGTTTCAGTCGTGCCCTTTTGTTTTTAATGATGTTGAGCATGTGGGAGTGCGTGGGCGGTGCAACGGCTCCGTCTTGCAGCTGACCTCTTCTGGATGTGTTTAAATATCTTTCTTTAGTTTTCCTCCCTCCCGTTCACACTGTGTGTGAATACATCTCCTTGCACACACACACACACCCCTGTCCCCTGATCACAGTGAGTGCACCAGACTGTAATTTATCACTCTTATCAAGTGTAAAACATTAGCCCCTCCAGAGGCAGTTACTTATGAAAATTAAACCTTGTTCGTAAATATTTGCCAAAGAGCAGAGAGGAAACCTTACGGGGTTGATGCCTCTTGTTGCGTCTCACCTCTGAATTACATCTTAAAGGTTTTAGAAGTGGACTTTATAATCCTAATTGTGCCTCTGGATGTGAGCTGGAAAGTGAACACTGTCCTCCACCTTAACTACTGTCTTTGGATTTGGAATAGACTTCTAATCTCCATCTGCTCCTGAAAAAAAGAAAAAAAAACAGCCTGAGGTTTGGACATTCTGCTGCTTTAGATAAACGAGGACTCCTCCCCTGATCAGTATGGAGGAACGGAGTCTACTCTCTGGCAAGCTGCCGGCCTGTTTGCTAATGATGACTGACTGACACTGAATTCTAAAAGGTGACAGACGAAGCTTTCGCGCTCTTGTAAATTACTGTGGCCTTCCTGACTTAGCGTTGTAATAACGGAGACGTGATCTTCCCTGATAGCTGCTCATTAGCACATAATCGAGCACTTATACTTGACATTAAGCTCAGCAAAGTCTTCGCTTTCTATTATTGTTGTTTGATGTTTCGTTCGAGGGTATTGTTCGTACTTAGTGAACTCTGTTGTGTTTTTTTTCTCTCTCTCTCGCTCTGCAACAATATGAATCTTGAAAATATTTTCTTTGGTGCTCATCAATAAACTGAAACAGCTTGTTTGCGGTTCACGTGTCAAAGTGAGTCAACGTGAAAGGAAGCAAAGTACATCCTGTGTGCCGTGCGTTTTCTAAGGGCTTACATTTGTCCTACACTATTTACATCACAGATCCTAAAATGAATTGTAGGCTGAACTACTTCACAACACACATCCGTCCATCCATGTGTTTTGTTATCAGGTCACGGTAGCAGCAGGCTAAGAAAGTCATTCAAGACATGCCCTCCTCCCAGCAGCACTTCCAGCTCATCCCAAGGAGTTCCAAGACCAAATGTGATACTCAGTGAGTTCTGGGTCTACCCCAGGATCTTTGTTTGGGTCTTTGTTTTACACGTAAACGAAGCTACGAGTCACCGAAAACCATCACATCTGAAAACTCCGGCCAGGGCGGAGATTTGGAAAAACTCCGTCTTTGCATGTAGACGGGAGGAGACGGAGTTTGACGTCACAGTACGCGACAAAAGCGTCGTCAGAGTCATACGTGTGAAACCATGTTTACAGTTTGGCTGCATCCGTATACTTGGACTGACATGTTTACAGTCAATGTTTTGAGTATTTTACTTGTTTTGTGTTTTTAGGAGCAGCTCCACCTCGATCGGTCCCAACAAACATTATCGTTGAAGTAACAGGAAGTTTTTGTTGTGTTTTTTCCAGGATTCTGATTGGCTAGCATGGCTGTCTGCTTCTCGTTACACTGCCCCCTACAGGTTTGGCAGCTCATAGCAGCTCTTAACAACGTGATAAAGATTTTTTTGAAAACGAACTGGTGTGAACGATGCTATTTTTGAAAACGTAGATCCGTTTTTGTGAACACCGGGTACGTGTAAACGTGGCCTTAGACGGACGTGGCCACCAGACCTCCACAGGAAGGCGCCCAGAAGGCATTCTGATCAGATGCTCGAACCGCCTCGACCGGCTCCTTTCCATGCAAAGGCGCGGCTACTTCCAGATCATTTCCTGAGTCTGTCAGCTGGTTCTTTCGGTCACTAGCCAGAGCTTATGAACAGAGGTGAGGATTGGGATGTTGATCGAACTGGTAAATCCTGAGCGTAGCCTTCTTTATTAAATACTGTATATAGACACAGGTTTAAAGTTCACAAAAGACAGATTTATATTCTCTCTGCTCACAAAGCTGGACTTTAACTCAACTAACAGAGCTGCCAGACTGAGACACTGGGGCAGCAGATATACCAGCATAGGGGGAAACTATATATACAACTAAAACTAATACAAAGAAACCCAAATCCCCACCATGATGTCAAAGCTCTTGGTCTGGTCTGTGAGAGGGCCTTCAGAATAAAGCTCCGCCCTCAGCCCCGCCTTCTGTCAGTCTCCAACCAGGAAGTGCCGTGCAGCAGCAGCAGCAGCAGCAGCAGCCAGGTAACTCAAAGAAAAGAGAAATGAATTAATAGCAAAATGACAAACAGTGTGAACTAAATGTGTGCCTCCATCTAGAAACCAGTGTTGTCAAAGTGTTCATGAACCACTTTTTAATGTGTAATTTAACTCAAAGTAACTGAACATGTGCTGATGGTGTTTGTCAGTGTGTGGATCCTTCAGCCTCCTGGGCGGCTGTGGGCTCGGCCATCACAGCACTACGTCAGAATGAAAACCTTTCAACTTGAATAACATCTAATGGAGTCAGAAGGTGGTTAATCACAGGGAGCCAAATCTGGTGAGTCGGGCAGGTGGCAAGCAGCAAAAAAAACTAGTGCATAATCCAAAGACTACAAAGTGGTACGTAGCACAGTCGCAGCACTCAGATGTCATCAGTTTAGGTTGTTTATGCCAAATGTTCTAACAGTATAACTCAGCTTAAGAGCGAGCATCCTCTTGTCTCCTGCCCTGACACGCCTTCTCCAGCTTTGGAGACTGTGGGCTTCTCCACTGTGAAGGCTGCCGATTGGTCTTTGGGTCGCAGCCACAATTTGTCACCAGCGATTGTCCTCAACATAAAAGCTGCCTGTTGACTGACACAGAATGCAGTGTTTGCCTTCTGCTCCGGTTTGACATCCACGGTGAAATCGGAAATGCGCACCTGCAAGTGGCCACATAACCACGTGTGACACAGGTCCCGGCGGCGGCGATGATGAATTGTGACTCACGGCAGGTGCTGCCTGCACCTGTTGCACGCATGTGACCGAGCTGCGCTTATATAATAATGATGTAATCTCCATATGTACTGTATGCATAACACCGTAACAGGAGCAATTTAATATAATCAGTAGACTGCCATTACTTTAAAAGCAAGCAGCAGCTTGACTTATGTGTGGTTATTTCCTTACTCGTGATGATTTGTTTAAAGGAATATGGCGACCAGCAGTTCATTTACATATCAAGCAGATGCATTATCATTCAGTCAGTGTTGGGTTTTAGGAATATAAATAAAATATTCACACTCTTGTAGAACCGATTTTGGTCTCCACCATCTCGTGATGAAAATACGTGGCTCATTAGCTGCTAAAGACTGTAATACAGTCGTGACTTGATAATCTGACCCTTAACAATCCTAAACCTGCTAACCAACAGGTTGTGAGGAAAAACGAACAGAACCCATAAAAACAGCCTTAACATAGCGACAGCCCCAGATTCTGACTCCGACATGACATTTAATGTCACCAATCAGGATGACGGCGTATTATCTGACTGAACAATCCCACAGATTGGCTACGTTCACACTGCAGGACTTGATGCTCAATGAGGATTTCTTTGTGACTTCCTTCACGTTTCCAGTTCAATGCGACTTGTATGTGATCTGCTGTGTGAACTTCATACGACCCAAAAGTGTCCCGCATGCGCAGAAGAGGACACGACGACGTCACACGCAGCGAGCGTGCTCAGTGTTTATGGAAGTAAACATGGATGGTAACGGTGGAGCGTATCTGCCACTCCCCCACCACCACCGATGGAGGAAACAGAAGTGTGAGCGCTAACTAAACTAGCATCAGCAGCCAAGTACTGCCTGTGTGTTCTGGACACTTCTGCTCAGACGGGGTGGAAGTGGCCGGAACATCCACAACGCACCGGTCGATTACATACGAAATCCAGCAATGCGTAGTGTTCCAACAACACACTAGTTATTATAACAACTATGAACAATGAATATTAACAACTAATGAGCCTTCCAGCATCAAGCCCTCCTTGTATCTGGACCTCCGTCTTGACAATCCAACAGCCCTGCTATCCGAAGTAAAAGAAGGTTTTACATTTAGTGTCAAGTTATCGAGTCACGGCTGTGTATTCATCGGTTAGTTTGCTAATGGTATGCTGTTGGGTGCTGAGCAGGTGATGGGTTTTTAAAGTGTTTTAAGTGCATCAGTGAGAGTGAAACAAGCCACTGACATGAATGAGGCTGTATAAGTCAAGCAGAGAGGAAAAGTGAAGTCGGCTGATAGTTCTGTGTGAGTTTGCCGGTTCAGACAATACCTCATTATGCCTTTCTCAGGATCGGAGTACTTCATCCCAGACAGAACAGCCCTGTCATGTCTTACAATGGGCTACATTCTTTATCCACTACCATGCAAAAATGTCTTTT